TCTCCTCTGTGGACTTGTCTGATTCTTCCTGTTCTGGAATGCCAATAATTCTTAAGTTATTCCTCTTCAGGTTGTCCAACATGAATCTTACGCCCTCTTCAGATATTTTTAACCTTTTTTTGTGTTTGCTCTTCTATCTTAATAGTGTTGAGAGATTTGTCTTCTAGCTCACTTGTTTTGGCTTCTAATTCTTCAGTTCTACTCCTTTGCCCTTTCAGTGTGTGGCCATTTCTGATATTCTATTATTAATCATTTGAACCTCTTTCTGTTGGTTTTGAATTGTTTCCCATGCTGCATGTATTTTATTTGATTTTTCCTGTAGAGCTTTCTTGACTTCTTCCTTATTTTCCTCAATTGCATTGTATAGTGTTTTGATAAATTTTATAATCATTTTTCTGAATTCCTCTTCAGGCATTTCCAAAGCTTGCTCATCTTCCAGTATGGAGTGTAGGTCTACTTCCAGCTCATTTGCCTCAGTCACTTTATCTCATTTCTGGACATGTGGTGATATGATCATCTACTTCTGATTTTGGGGCATATTCAGGAGTTATCTGTGGCCTTATTCAGGAGTTATCTGTGGCCTTAATACTTAGGTGTGTATGTAGTTGGTATTTTTTATGCTTTCTGATTGCCTTCATGTAGATGTGATCAGGAGATGGGCTTCTCTTTTCACTCATCTTCCTGAGAAATTTCAAGATGCCACTATTGGTCGTTGTAATGTAACTCAGGATTTAATTTTCGGCCTGTTTCCTTTTTAGTCTGCCTGTCCCATTCCACAATCCCTGTTCAAGCCTTTTTCTTAGTGATAAACAGTTCAGGGCCGGCTGTGGACAAGATAGTGGAAGCTGTCACTTTAAATTTTGAGGATCTCTGTGCAAATGTGTAGTAGAACCCTCCGGGGGTGGGGTGTCCACTCACTCAGACACTCCCTCTCGTCACCAGAATGAAGGTGCACAGAAGACAGCAAGAGACTGATGAACAGATATCAAAAAAAAAAAAAAAAAAGAATGTTCACACACCTTTATCTCCGCGGTTCTGTCAGGCATCTGTGGCTGCTCTGATCCTTCTCCTGCTTGGTCTTGCCCAAGGTCACAGCTCCTGGAGCAGCTGAGCATCTTGAATTAGAAAGCAATGGATTTCTTGCTTCTGCTACAAATTCCCCTAGCTGTAATCCTTCCAGCCTTCTAAACATTCTTTTATATGTGGTTCAGAGTTCTGGCACCATCCCCGGAGCCTGCTTAGTCCGGTCTTCTCTGTTGTTGCCGATAGAGCTCTTCACTGCACTTCCACCTGATTCACCATCTTGTTTGTTCTCAACAATGTATTTTAATAGTGAAAGGTTACTTTATTTCTGTTAAGCACTTCAGAGCTCTATTCAAACCTTTTATTTTCTCTTTGTAGTACAAGTGTTGGCATTATAAAGCTTTCTGATCAAACAAACACAGAGAAACAGCAAGTTTTAAATTGCTGCCTAAGCATAAATATTTAGATAACTGTATTTTGTCTTTATGAAACTTAAGGTAAAATAGAATATAGTTGTGTTTGTCATCCACTGAACAAGTCTATTTAAGAAGCTAAGAGAAAAGTTTACTAAGGTAGGGGTGTGTGTGCATACACTCATACTTTTATGATACAATTCAGGAGTGTACAAACTTGTTCAAGGTCCACATACAGCTGATAGCTACATTTTTAGGTAATAGTAGTTTTTACATAATTAAAGTTTTGTTGTTTTTTTCTTTAAAGAAAAGGAAAAAGAAAAATATGGCCTTTTGTTGTTAAGTGCTTTCTTATGCTCACTATACAAGGAGACTTCAAAAATTCATTGAAAAATGGAATTGACAGATAATAGAATTTTTCCACAAACATTTTGAAGCCTCTCATAGTTAGGCTAGATATAATTTTTATTTGTATCTGTATTGGCTATAAGTTCCATGGGGCAGTACTATATCTATCTTGCTCACTGCTCTATTGTTAATTTCTAAAATAGTTCTTATAAATATTTTTTAATGAAACTGAATGAATGAATGAATGAATGGAAGGATAGAGAGAGAAAAGGAGGATATATTTTCCTAAGCAACCTCAAGCTCTTGTTGTTGTTACCTGCCATCCAGTGATTTCCTGCTCAGTGTGTCCCCATGTGTTTCATAGTAGAGCTGCTCCATAGGGTATTTGCAGAAACTGACGGCCAGTCCTTTTCTCTTGGTACCATTGAGTGGATGCAAATTACCAGCCTTTGATTTGACAGTAGAGCACAAACTATTAGTGCACCTGGAGATCCAAGCTCCTCATTAGGCTTAAGAATACACAGTAGTAACTCTCTGACACTTTCTGTTTAGTCACTATTCTGGTAGCGTAGTGGTTACGAATCGGGTTGCGAACCTTAAGGTCAGCGGTTCAAAACTACCAGCTGCTCCACGGGAGAAAGATGAGGCTTTCTATTCCCGTAAGGATTTACACCCTTGGAAACCCTGTACAGGGTCGCTATGGGTCGGAACCGACTCGACGGCACTCAGCAACAACAACAACCAAGAACAAAATCTGTATGCCAGGTGACAGGATAAAACTTTTGGCAGTTTTGTGTTCCAAGATAGGTAGGTCAGTTGGTAAGGGAGAGAAGAAAGTTCTGACAATATATCTTATTTATAGTCTTCTTGTTATTGTTAAGTGCTGTCTAGTCAGTTCTGATACTTAGTGACCCTGTATAGGGTTACCAAGGAGTGACTGGTGAGCTTGAACTACTGACCTTGCAGTTCAGACCTACTTTGCAGTCCAGCGCCTTAACCTGCAGTACCACACCAGGATTCCTATTTATAGTTTGGCAACAGAATATTCCTTTAGGAAAGCCTTCTTTTTACTCTTAAGTTTCTAAAGAATTGACTTAATAGAGCATAATCTGCTTTGCTTAAAGCCAACTGACCTAAACACATGTAAATACCTCATAGCAACACTGTACTGTTTGTCCAAATAGTTAGGAGGGGGAGAATTCAAAAAATTCCTAGAAAAAGTCCATGATCTTTTCATTCCTTTTCTCTACAAAAGTCCCTCGTATGTATCGGTCCTCATCAAGTTACATAAAAAATTAACCATCACAGCTTAATTTAAAAATATAATTAATTATAGAAAGATAAGTTTTCAGGTTTCTCCTTTGGATCATATACCTTTGGCTGCAAAATAATGTCATCCACATCATTGCCAGTTCATATCCTGTCTCCATATTCAAGTTGTTCTGTGGCAACCCATAAGAGGTTTGTTTGGAATATCTTTGTCATATAGTCCTAGACACAAGACTGTATGACTAGTGAATTAAGTTTTTTTTCCCCTTTGATTAAATTGAAATAGGCCAATCCATTGGGGGAACCAGCCAAAATGAAAATATGGGCTCCTGTGTGGTTCCCACCATAAAGATGGGTACTAAAAAATTACCTGGCCCCTGGCCCCTAAAAAAGGACTGAGCTAAATCTCAAGCACTTAACAAAATCTGAGATCACAGAATGTGTACATACTTTCACTCCTTAATTTTAGAAAAATCTGTTCTTAAGGAAATTCTACATATGTAATGTAAAATATTTCATTTCAGAATAGCATAGAAAACAATTTTCTGTGTTGAAATTGTTACTAATTTCAGCTTAGTAATTTATAATAAGGAGCTCTGGTAGCGTAGTGGTTACGAGTTGGGCTGCCAACCTCAAGGTCAGCAGTTCGAAACTACCAGCGATTCCGTGGGAGAAAGACGAGGCATTCTGCTCCTGTAAAGATTTACAGCCTCAGAAACCCTGTGCAGGGTCACTATGAGTCGGAACCGACTCCATGGTACTTAACAACAACAACAACAATTTATAATCAGTAGTTTTTAAGAATTGCATAATGCCATAAAGTCTGTTTAAAAGTATGCTTGGAAATATATAAGATCTGTAAATGATCAGCTTTATTGTATCTTCAATTTCTTCATGCTTGTTTCTACCAAAATGGAAATTTGGTGGTGGTAGTGTGCTGTGGAGTTGGTTCCAACTCAAGGTGACCCTGCATATGGTTTCTGAGACTGTAAATCTTTACATGAACAGAAAGCCTCAAATTGTGAGGTTGGCGCAGGACCAGCAGTGTTTTGTTCTGTTGTGCATAGTGTTGTTACAGGTTGGAACTAACTCAGTGGCACTTAACAGCAACAATGATGAGCATCTTGCATAGCTCATTTATTTCAAGGAAGGAGTTAAACCACAGGATGATTTTCATGTTGCCTTAAAATATTGACACACACTAAGAGATTAGAAAAACTTAGTAGTTCTTCTGTCTACTACCATTTGCTGCCTATATCAGTTTACGAATTTGACACAATACATGTATAACATGTTCTCATTTTGGTTTATTATAGGCTTCTCCAGCTCACACAACTCCACAGACCCAGAATACAAGTGGCCGTCGAAGAAGAGCAGCTAATGAAGATCCTGATGAGAAAAGGAGGAAGTTTTTAGAGAGAAATCGAGCAGCAGCTTCAAGATGCCGACAAAAAAGAAAAGTCTGGGTTCAGTCTTTAGAAAAGAAAGCAGAAGACTTGAGTTCATTAAATGGTCAACTGCAGGTATGGTACATATATATGAATTTTGTTTTATTTATCTTTAATAATCAAGAGCATGGTTTTTCCCTATTTTCTCTAGCTAGCTATCCAATATTTTAGGGCATAATAGTGGAATATATGGACTCTCTAGTAAGTCACACTTTTATAAACTTAGTTGAGTGGTGAAGTGAAGTAAAGCTATCCACCCAGAAAAAATGAGATTTAAAATCGCTACCTGTATGACACAAAGGGCCGTAAACTTTCTGGCCTGAAGTTGTGATAGAAATTTCTAACGAAACATTTTTAAATTTAAAGATATCTCTGGTATTTTACTTTTTTCTTGGTTTGTTTTTTTTTTCTATCACAACTGTAAAGTTGTGTCAGTAACAGTTTTTTAAGTTCTTTTGACCTTTTAATTATAAATTGTTTCTTTTGTTTGTTTGTTTTATTCAAAGTGAATATAATGCTCGTGAAAGGTGCCAGATTGACAGCTTTGGAAACTGAAGGACTCTATTTATCCACAAACCAGGTACAATATGGCCAGTGGCAGTACATACGGTTTCAGACTGCCCTGCCAATGTGCCTCATATATGTTTCTTAGGTACCTCACAGGCGGGGTACAAAGGTTTTAAGGCTCCTTCCGCATCCTTCTTTGACTCCCATGGTAAGATTTACAGTGATGGTACTTCACAGCATCAAGTCTGTGTCCTTCCTTCCTTGCTTCCCTTTTGGTTTTGTTTGGTTGGTTTTTTAATGTTGTGAATATTTTTCACTAAAATCTTCCTAAAATGCCAATTGCTGAACATTGAGTAGACATTTTATTATAATGAACTAATTATTATTAATATAACTCAATCTTCTGAATTGTCTGTCCCCAGATAAAATGAAATTTTTTTTGTATAATAATGGTTGCAAGGATCCTGTTCTCTTCTTTATCTTAAATAGAAATGTCAGCAATATAAATAGCTGTTCACATGCTTAGGGAAAAGTTTCTGGCTTCAGGCTTAACCTTTAACCAAATGTCAATTTTCTAACATAAGTTTTTTTACACACGAGGCAGGTATCTTTAAAATTAAAACTTCTGTGCTTTGAGTATTAACATGTTAGCTTTGAATCAAATAAATTATCTTGTAAGACTTACTTTAAACCATTTTAGCCATGTAGAAAAAATTTTAAACACTACTTACTTCATATAGACTTTAAATATGTACTTAAATACTTGTTGTCTTTGTTGTTGTTGAATGCCATTCAGTCAGTTCCAACTCACAGTGAACCCTGTATAGGGTTTCCAAGGAGTAGCTGGTGAGCGTGGACCACTGACCTTGCAGTTCAAACTGACCTTGCAGTCCAGCGCATTAACTCACAGTGCCACAAAACCCTTAGCTATATTATCATTATCTGAGAAATGAATTTTCATGTTCAAGAACTATCTTCAAAGTTTCTTAGAAAAAACTGAATTGGTTACTATGGGTCGGACTCAACTCAACAACACTTAACAACAACAACAACAACAACAAAGGAGCTCTAGTACGGGGTCCTGGTGTTGCACTGTGGGTTAATGTGCTAGACTGCAAAGCCTTTTGAACTGCAAGGTTGGCAGTTCAACTTCACCAGCTGCTCCTTGGAAACCCTACACCGGGTCACTATGGGTCGGAATCGACTCGATGGCACTTAACAACAACAACAAAG